TCTACTAATACACTGGTTAAAGCATAATTGTTGAGAACGTGGTGTTTACTAGCTATTAAAAAAACTTTAATTGTAATCATTCAAAAATGTGTAAGTGTTCAATAATTCAATGTTGTATTTACAAATAGTTATTTTTTAATATTATATTGTGCATTTATATTATTTTACGAAAAAAAATCTAATTTAACATAAAAGAAATATTTTTTGCTGAGATTTGATGTAGTGACAATTTTGCATCATGATTACATAATGACGTCATCGCGCAATGATATCACAGCGTCATTTAGCAACAAATCGATCTTCCTTTAGCAACTTCCCCTGAAAATTAGTTAGCAACACTGATTGGGGCCCTGTCTGGGCTAAACTCAGGGACTGGAGCCTTCTCTGGGCTAGACTTGGGGATAGAAGCCCTCACTGGGCTAAACTTGGGAAGAGGAGCCCTCTCTGGGCTAAACTCGGGGACTGGAGCCTTCTCTGGGATAGACTCGGGGATAGAAGCCCTCTCTGGGCTAGACTCTGTTTTTCTAGTTTACTAGCTAATTAGAAAAAAAAACAAATTGTAATCATTCAAAAATGTGTAAGTGTTCAATAATTCAATGTTGTATTTACAAATAGTTATTTTTTAATATTATATTGTGCATTTATATTATTTTACGAAAAAAAATCTAATTTAACACAAAAGAAATATTTTTTGCTGAGATTTGATGTAGTGACACAATTTTGCATCATGATTACATAATGACGTCATCGCGCAATGATATCACAGCGTCATTTAGCAACAAATCGATCTTCCTTTAGCAACTTCCCCTGAAAATTAGTTAGCAACACTGATTGGGGCCCTCTCTGGGCTAAACTCAGGGACTGGAGCCTTCTCTGGGCTAGACTTGGGGATAGAAGCCCTCACTGGGCTAAACTTGGGAAGAGGAGCCCTCTCTGGGCTAAACTCGGGGACTGGAGCCTTCTCTGGGATAGACTCGGGGATAGAAGCCCTCTCTGGGCTAGACTCAGTAACAGAAACCCTCTCTGGGCTAAACTCGGGGACTGAAGCCTTCTCTGGGCTAGATTCGGGGATAGAAGCCCTCTCTGGGCTAGACTCAGGAACAGAAGCCCTCTCTGGGCTAAACTCAGGATCAGGAGCTGAACTCATGGCAGGCCGGTGCTTCTTCCTTCGCCTCCTCTTTGGAGCGGAGGTAGAATGAGGCAAGGCCTCTAGAATGGGCTGTTGGTTGAAAACTGGAGCAGATCTTGGGGCGGAACCAGGTCAGAGACTGAAGTCTGGAGCTAGCATCCTTAGGGGGCTGAGATTCTGAGCAGGAACTTTACTAGGACTGTATTTGAGGATTGGGGTTACCAGGATGCCTGCTGCTCGCACTTACCTTCAACGGGGGATCTGCCACACTGGACATTAATCTAGTCTGCCTTAGTCTAAGTTCCATCTTGCTCATGGGTTCTGGCATGGCCTCATGCATGACGGACATTTTGGCTAGGGAATCTGGATGGAATTCTGAGGCAGGAGTGGATTCATCACTGGACTCTGGAACAGAAACGAACTAATTACTGGCTTCAGGGACTGAAGTTGAGGGACAATCAGGAAGACACACTGGAGCAGACACTGACTGCTTGCTCCCTCTCTTCTTCCTCCTTTTGGCAGAGGTCATGAGGAGCATGGTCTCAGGAGCGTATTCTGGGCTGAAAGCTGGAGCAGACTTATGGACTGTAGTGGACTCTGGAACAGACTCATGAACAGACATGAACGGGGTAGCTAGTGACAGAGTGCTGAGTCCCTCATTCTGCTGTGTTGTATGTTGATGGTCTGGTCTTCTGTCAGCAAACACAATGGAAACACAAGGGTAAATCAGTATAACAGCAGATTTGTTGAAGACTGTGGCAGGAAAAGACAAGACACCAGGGAGAGGGGAAGAATCTTGGTAGCGGATAGGGTTTGGTGGCTTAGCTTGGTGGATTTACGTGTCCTTCCTTTCTTCCAGGTGGAATGGCAGGAGCAGAGGATCTTTGGAGTGCTGAAGAATGCGGAGTAGATCGCTGGAGAACTTGTGGGTAAGTAAACAGAGACTTGGGTTAGGTAAGCCAGTGGTTCCCAACCCTGGTCCTGGAGGCACCCCAATACTGCACATTTTGAATGTCTCCTTTCTCTGACACACCAATTTCAGGTCTTGGAGTCTCTGCTAATGAGCTGATGACCTGAATCAGGTGTGTTTGATTAAGGAGACATGCAAAATGTGCAGTGTCGGGGTGCCTCCAGGACCAGGGTTGGGAACTACTGAGGTAAGCAACACATAGCAACTGCGAGACCAGACAATGAGAGTGTGGAGTGAGCGTGTTCTTATGGGAAGTTTGATTGGCAGCAACAGGTGAGGAGGATCCACTGATAGATTCCAGGTGATTGACAAGGAAGTGCAGGTGAGTGGCAAGAGGGATGCTGGAAAATGTAGTGCAGCGACGGCTCAACTGGTGACTGTGACACTTTGCCCAAGGAACCGATCCATTTTTAAAATAAAATGCTATGACATTACGAATGACTGCAAATCACGTCACGTATTGCATTGCACGAGATATCCATGTGAGTCAAATGTTTTTATTTTATTTTATCTTTTTTATGTATGGGGGTGCTAGCCCCTAGCGCCACTCAGTAAAGACTATTAAAGTGACATAAAGGAGTCATACACTAGGTGCGCATGTGTCCGTTATTATTGATGCGCAAAAAAACTGTGTATCTGCGCTCATGGCGCACGGATCGCTATAACATCATATTTCTGCTTGAACACAGTTCTGTATATTCATGTAGTTGCCAAAAGTAATGTACAGCAAGTGCTTTATAACGGATGCTAGCCAAAGAAGCGTGTTTTGGAGAAGTTTCTGAGGATCAGTTATGTACATATGGGCATCAAACGCTTCAAATTTGCTTATTCTGACAGAGGAACTATTCAATGATGACATTGACCCACCTTACGATCGCTGAGTCTCCACACATTCAGAATGGTTTCAATTTTAATTTGTATTTTGGTGTGTTTAGTTATTCTGCATGGATCTGTGTATGCAGTCCTTTGGTATCTCCGTGGTCTTGTTTGGTATGGCAGGTTGACTTCTGCTTATTTGTTAAAGTTACTGTATAATTAAGGTTTACATACTTTTAAGCAGCTACTTTTAAGTTGTAAACTAGACCGTCTCATTCTAGTGTTTAATGCCGAGGAGTACTCTAGGCTACAAGACTCTGAAGGACTGAACTAGGAAGGACGCAGCCTCGGTAGGATGCAGCCTTCCGTTTAAGAAGCACCCTAAGATTACTGCGAGTTCTCGTGTTCCTTGAAAAGGGAAGATGTATCGATACTCGAAACCACAATCAGCAATGCAGCAATTGGCTGGCGGCAAGACAACAACGTAATGGCATCATATAATTAGACATGACACCTGACAAAAAACTTGACGAATTTCTGGACCTTTATAAGGAAACGGCTGAGTGAACAAAACTACATAAATGTTATAATAGACACATTTCATTTATGCACTGTTTTTTATTTTATTTTACATGATACCCAATTATTTATATTCACGATTTCCAGAGGCGGACAGTAACTAAGTACATTTACTTGAGTATTGTACTTAAGTACACTTTTTGAGTATCTGTACTTTACTTGAGTATTATTTTTTCTGGGAACTTATGACTTTAACTTCACTACATTTGAAAGACAAATATTGTACTTTTCACTCCACTACATTTCTATCAAGGTCCTCGAGGTAGAAAGTCGTTACTATGTAGCAGCTTTGAAAGTCAGTGGGTGATTTTTTTATTCTCTAAAAAGTGACTTTCTTTCTTTTTCAGACAGTTTATCAGTAATCACTCTCGTAGGGCTACATGAAGTGATTTCCCAGCATTTTTTGAACACTGAGTTGCAAATGTGATATTTCTTTACAACAATTCAATAATAAGAAGTTAATATTGTGGTATATATTAGACACAATATTGTCTGATTTTGCTAAATTGTGTAGGTGAAAATATTACCTATAAAGCAACAGAAGAACTGTTGTGCATCTCCTAATAAAACACAATAGGTGTTGGACTTGAAGCAGCACTCCATAGACCGCAATGGAGTTGAGTACTTTGTCCGCCTCTGATGATTTCTAATATTTGTACAGGCTTTACATTTTTATTTCAATGTTGTAATTATAGCAATTTTTTTTATTGCATTTTTTTTTTTACGTGAAAGCATTATTTAAAGTTTCTTAAGGGTCAAGATCAAGTTATCTGCATCTCCTGCGCTCCATCAAGCCACTCCCATAATAGATAATTAGATAATTAATAATTAATAAAAGGTCATTTATAATAGGTCACTACTCAAAACTCCAAACCACTCAGATTAAATGTACAGCATGTGTTTAAGACTCCAATACAATTATAAAGTAATTATTTTATCACTAATAAATCTTTCAATGAGTAAAACTGGCTGTGTCTATAGTATTATAGACTACACAACCACAACGTTATAATATTATTTTCAAATTAATTTTTAAATTATTGTCCCTGGATCAGTAGGGTACACTTGTAATAAAGTAGCAGGGACACATTGCTGGGACATATTTTAAGTATCAGTTCTGCTTAAAAAGATGCAATCTAATCCCGTTTACGTGAAATAAACCTGCTCCCGAGCAGGTTTAAATTTACGGACCTGTCGCTATGACAGCAACTCTGGGATTAGCTTCGAAGAACCAACCAATCCAAGATCATGCCAAATCGTCAACAGTCAAATCCAGCTAACTGAGTTAGCGATGTACATAGAACAGACCCCTGAACATGAAATACCACAAATAATTGAGAAAGAATCAATCAATTCAGGTAGTTCGTAGAAAAAACACTCCTCACATTACTTTCCATGCATAAAACAAAGCATATGAATAAAGGTCCATTGACAAACAGGAAAGAAAGTCCTCAATAATAAACCCCAGAATAGTCATTTGCCCTTGCTTCCTTTGCGTTATCTACCTGTATAAAATACCTAACTAACTATACATTCATATAAAGGGAGATAGTTGAAAAATATTATCTGTAGTCAGATAAGTCAGTCTAGCTAAGGACTTACTACAGCAACTAATGCCATTATAACAC